ATGAGAATCAAATTGATTTTGCTGTTTTCAATAAATGTAAACATGACTATGCCCCTTTAAAATATCTTAGAACACTGTTTCAGTCTACTTACATTTGCAAATATAAGCCACCTCCAGGTACTTGTAAGTACCATAGCAAGAGTCTCCAAACACAGAGTTGCTGGCTGTCATACTGCAGCTGTTTTTCCCTCAGATTACAGATGATTTCCTAGAATTTCTTTTAAAGGGAACAACAGGGTTATAACAAATCTCTTCAGTGCTAGAGCAAAACCATTTGCGTTCTTAATACCGCCTACTAGCAAATTGAAGTTATGATGCAGTTTATTTTTTAAGGCTGATTTGAATAAATGTGCCAGGGCCTGTCAGAGGAATGGGAACAACAGTCTGATGGATTTCCCAAGAATGCTATTACCTGAAAAAAAAAATAAAAAATCTGTGGATTTTCGGTGGACTATAGAAGCATATGCACAATACAATGACTTGGTTCAAATCCATTCACTATGATCCTTAAGTAGCCTTAATCACTTATCCTTAAGTGATCAAGGCTACCCACTTACTACCTGGAATCCAACTTTACTCCTTCCGCCTCAGATAGAACAAGAGCTCTAGTATAAGAGGCTGCATCTCTGCACATGATTCGCTACTGAACTTCCACAGGACCCATTTTAACTCAACTCAAAGGCTGCCGGGTCAGGAGTGTGTATAAGAAGGTATATTGAGTTGTGTTAGCTTAGCATGAGGCAATGTAAGATTGTAAAGGCACAAGTGGCACAACATTGGTAAACAACCAGCTAGACTGCTGTCCTTCTGCAACCAAGGCTCACATGGCCTCTGGTCTGGATAGCTTTTGTTCAACACAGCCACGCAATTCCACACAGCTTATGTGGAAAGGCAGGCAGCAGAACCAGTTCCTTAGATTTCCCATCAATGGCCTTTATGGCTTAGTTTTTTACTTGAGCTATAAATAATTATTCTCTTAAAAAAACGTGCCTGTTCTGCTTAATGTCATGTCACTATGTGAAAGTGTTGAGGTATAGCATGACTATTAAGATATTCTGATTGATAAATCTACATTGCACCTTACCTGATATATGTTAAGAGGAACATTTTAGTTTACTTTATTTTTCCTTTACATTTCTACCATACAGAAGTATCTCTTTTATGGGCCTGCATGGTTTTGCATTAGCTTAATTATATTCCAATTAAGTCTGACCACTGTCCATTCCTGAACTAATATCAGTCAGACTGAAGTGGAGCTGATAAAGTCAGCTTTTCCATGTTTTAGATTGGAAAATAATGAGATATAATGTTATGACTTAAGCTTTTGTTTACATCTTTTTTTTTTTTTTTTTTTTTTGTCAGGATGAGTGGAGGTTTGGAGAGGACCCAAATGCAGAGATGGAGGCACAGATAGTTTCTTGCAGATTTAATATGATGAGAGTGGTGGCAACAGAAGCTTAAATCCAGAAATAACAAACCAGGGAAGACAGGAACCAGATCAGAGGGTAACACAGAATAACTCCGAGTGAGAATGAAAAGAATCAAGCCATGAGTAACTGCAGAGGAGGAGGATATATGCCAAACAGAACAATGCATGGAGTAATCAACTAATTGGGCACAGGTGTGGACTGAAGTAGATAAAAGAGAGTTAAGGGGAAAGGGGAGGGGCAATAGGGGGCAACAGAGAGTAAAGCAAAAAAAGAATAAAATAGGGCTTGATTATAACTAGGAAAGAACTAAAATGAAGCTAAAAGGGAATTGATTAAAAACACTTAAGATAACTAAGATGCCATGCGAAACATAACCTAAAGATAACTGTAAACAATACTAAAGAATGCTGATAATAGAAGATAACTGAAAAAACCCCAGAAAGGAATAACTAAGAGCTGAGTACCTAAAGTGAAAACTTGAACACAACCAAAAACCAGAGAAAACCCAGAGAAGCGCACTGAAGTGCACTGTAAATATTCATTGTAATGTTTCTTAATTATTATTATTTAAAATATATAAATCTTGCCATCTACATAATATCTATAGCATATAACTTTCAACTTTCCTTGATGATTTCCATACTGCCATAATCACAGGCAATCTGCTCATTGAAATGGTGCACTCACACACTATACATGCATTATAAATATTTGAAAGTCGGGCCTCGATTTCAGATCCTGTAACAATAATTTTTCTCTGCCATATTGAAGGCCTTTGCTATTGTTTTCATACAATTTATTTTTACCAAGATCTCGATTGGCTGCTGTAAAACTACCTCTATTCTTACTGGAACCCAACAGAATAACATTTACAATATTGCAAAAACACCAAAGGCAAATATATTTACATTACTCCATTACTTATTACAATTAATCAATGAATACATTTAAATTCATTAAAGTTTTTGAATTTACTAAGAGTATGGCCCCATATGAGTTGCTAATTGCCTGCGCCTTGCAATCTGTAGCAGTTGCACTATGTTGCAGCTTTTTTTTATATTACACTTATTTACTTGCAGCGTTTTTCCTATGAATCATTACTGTATCTTCAGCAAGTTTTATGTTTGAAGCATTTCTCCGTTAAAGCTTTTTTGCATGTGTTTTTGTGTTAGTCTATTTTTTTTGTTTGGTCTTTAAGAGGCATATTTCAGAATTTGTGTCAAGGTGTTCTTTTTGAAAGTTAATAAGGAAATAAAGGGAAGAGTCAAATATGATTTTGGAATTCTCTGGCTCTTAGTTATTATCAATTTAACCAAGATGCAAATTGTTTTCATATTGAAATCTTGGCAAACAAACACAAAGATCATTGCTTCTTTTGGGCAATGTAGTTTCCCAAAGAGAACAAAACTCCCTCTTTGAAGAGATTTCAACTGATTCTGAGAAAAAATCACATGTTGCACAAAGCAATGTGCAAAACTTACCTTTTCCAAGCTGAAGTAATGATCTAATGAGATATTAGATCCCATTCTTCCTGCAGGATGACGGCGATACTTAAAACTACAAAGACTTAGATAATTTCTAACTTTAACAAAACTTGAAATAGTATTTACAAAATGGCCCTTTAGGTTCTAGCCCCAATTTTTATGTTCTACAATTTTCCTTAAAGTGCATTTTTCTTTGGCTGTGCTTGCAAATACTTCCTAAAAACAATTCTCTTTTAAGACACACTTCTTGAAACTGTTTGACCGTAACTACTAAAAATATATGTCCAAACATTGCTGCCTTTATCAGTAAATAAATTATATGAATCCTTTACGTTTTACTGTTAAAAGCTGTTCTTAGTTCAGGTTTAGATGTTTGTTTTAAAATATTTTTTTATTTTATGGCGACCTCTAGTGGCCATAATGGGAATGTATGACTTCTGAGACTGAAATTCTTATTCATGGCTGCAGATTGGATTATATTCTAAAAAAAAATGTCTGTAAATTTTCAACTAAATATTATTTTAATATGATTTTTGCTTTTTCCTTGGGGTGGGAGGGTTTTTCTGTTTTATTCAGAAGGCTAATGTGTTATTTTGTCTATGGGTTTTGATTCAGTTTTATCCATAGATCTATCCCTCCTTTCTTGACCGTTTGGGGTTGTCATTCCAAAGGTCTGACTCTGAAGGATTCCAGGTTCTAATGTTAAATGAGAGACCTGGTTGCAGAGCCCTGCTTTGATTCGTGGCCAGTACCCTATTCTGAATCACTAAGTCCTACCTATCGAAAAAATCAGCTGTGGTAGACACCGTTCAATCTATGGAAACACTAAGAAACTTTCATGACAAATATTGCAAAAGTAAACATACATGAAAATTTTAAAGATAAATACACACCAACATTAAAAAAGCACTACATCTGCCCAATTTATAGAAGTTAACCAAAGAAGTTGGTTGAGTTATGGGTAACTGTCTTAATTGATTTAATAAGGTTAAAGGGTATTTAACTTTTCACATGATTACTAGTGGCTTAAATCGTTATAGTTTCAAAAATTTGTTTAATATGAATACCCAGTAATTATTTTATTTTCATGTATTATTGGATGTGGGCGTTTTTTTGTTTGTTGTTGTTTTGTTTTGTTTTGGCTCAGTGATTCAACTGATGAAGAACCAATGATATTAAATCTAAAGTCTTTGAATGACTAAGCTTTCTTTACCCCTAACTTACTTAAACCACAATGATCTACTATTTAACTGAGATATTAATGTTTCCATTGTTATTTCTTTCCTTGACCATACAAACTTCTAATTGCCTTTGAATTTGATCCTAATGCTTTATATATATATATATTTTTTAAATCTTTTTCATCTTTGTAAGCATTTTTATTGATCTAAATGTGAAATAAATTATAATAACAATAACATCACAATTTAACTTTATCAATATGTCTCTAGTTTTTCATATTTTTCTGCTGAATGTCTTGTCTTTTAATATCTTTTTCGTATCTGTTATTATTGTTTTTTTCTTCTAGCAATTGCTAGTTATATATTTTTAAATGTTACTTATAACTGTTCAGTTAACGTGGTTCAAATTCTTCCAAAGGAGTTTACTTGATTTTTAAAAGGTGTAAAATGATTTGGTTTACATTGAAATGCAGGATTTTTTTATTGAATTTTATTTATTTATTTTTTATATCTTTAATTTTTATATATTTTTTTATTTAGAATTTTTTTTAATTATTTTTAAATGTTAAACAAATTATAATTTCAAAATATAAAAAATATTTGAAAATAAAATAAATACATAAATAAATTAATTAATTAAATGCAGGAAATACACTAAATGAAATTTGACTGATTGATTGATACATCAATTTTATTGAGGTAAGTTTACATCATCAGTACTTCCATTAAAGGATCGTGTCCTATTTCTCTTAGAGCTACTTGTTCATCATTTAATTTCTACAAATACATTTTAAGTTTTAAAAAAAATTCTTAAAACTAAAATAGAAACAACAGGGGATAGAAACGTTTCGATTATAAACTTCATTGACCATAATTCCTTGCGGCTCATCTACAGCGCATGTGCGGAAAGGTTGTTGTCAGCGGTGGTTATGGAGATGAGATGGGACTGCGAGCTGTCATTAATACGGTAAGATATGATGATAATATCGAAGAGAAGGACCTGGCAGTCCCAGCTACGCGCTTACAAAGAATCTTTGACTAAAAAAACTTATGGTTTTCTGTACATTTTTACATTTTAGCCAGTTTTTTTCTGTACAATACAGGCAGTGTTAGACTGGATGACGTTTGCTATGTTGGCAGATGGATGAGTTATTAGGAGTTAGCTAAAACTCCCCCACCCAATTTAAGACGTTGAGGTCAGCAAAACAAAAACCCAAAACGTCTTGTGTTATGAGTCTTATGAATAGCTCGTCTGTTTCACACAAAAATACACCTAAACGTCATGTAAGGTGTCCATTTTTGTTAGGTGCTGCTGACATCACAATCAGCACTTAATGGAAGTTTTGAGCTCAACCCAAAAGTTGTGTTTTGTTATATATTCATTAATTTAAAGAACTGTTCCTTTAACTAGGTTGTAGATTTAAAGATATATAATTATACAAATTTATTTGAATTAAATAGAACTGTTCACCCTATCATTGTACGGTTAGTTGTCTTATATATTTCTGTTTAGTTTGTTAAAACAATCTTTCAGTGTCTGCTAGAGGAATGCCCAAGAAGACAGGATTCACTGTGGTCAGCTCTTCAAGTCATGAGGACAGCTTCAGTGCCCAGGAGCTTATGGTCCACGCCCCCACTGTCAATGGTTGGAGATCAAGCAGGTATTATAAGCCTATAATCTGGGCTGGAAGATTTGTCAATCAAGCAGTCTATGCCTTAATCCATTAGCTTTTATGATTTTATAGTGTAGTATGTTGTCAGCAACCTTTATCATATGAAATGGCTTTTTCTTGAAGTAAACAAAATGTTTTGATGTCCAGAATCTGTATAGTGCTTTAAAAAAAAAAGCGTATTAATATTCGCTCTCCTTTTAAAAAAAAAAAGCAATGTACTGACAGCTGTTGATTCAGCAGTCCCCCTCATGATTGGCTCAAAATCTTCATACCATAACATATCTACATACCTGTTCAATATATCGGACAATAACTGATGTTTTTATTATTTAAACAACCCAACTTATTATGTAAAATTAGAGAAATGGATAAATTACACAAAGACTGATGTTTTAATATAACGACAAAACAATATTTTTGTTTATTGTGATAACGTTCAAGTGCAAGCTATAAAAAAACATGATCTTTTGAGTTGAATATATATATATATATATATATATATATATTTTTTTTTTTTATGTATATGTTGAACGTCTTTGTTTCATGCAACTTTCTGAAAGAAATTGTCTGTTTAATCCTTAAAATAAATCCCTGTGTGTCTAATGAATTTCTGTTGTACAATAGGCAGTGCTGTTTCCAAAAAGGTGTCATATGAAATAGATAGAAAACTTTGAATCAATTTGACTGTATGATCTGGTTGAACTGTAAAGTGCCTTGAGATGACATGTGTTGTGAATTGGCACTATAGAAATAAACTGAATTGAATATTGCAAAATTAGAATTACTAGTCTAGATCTTTTCATTTCTTATGTTTATTTAGGATTTTTGGCTGTTGTGATTTAATTATTTTGTTATTTTATTTTATCCTTAATCCTCCTTTGAAACCAAGCGTAATTTCCATTTTTTTGTCTATTTTTCCAGGCTGTGTTCCTATCCTCAGCACCTCACCCTCCAGCTGGAGCAGAGAAGCAGGATACGGAAGCTGCAGTTGCTGGCTCACCAGTATATGATCCCTTCTAAAGTTGAATTCTATGTTGGTGACTGCTCTCCTGAAGCCAGTCCCCCAGTCTTTCCTGGACAGTTTCATAGACTTGGGTAATACCTCAGATTTTATTAAGTTTGGTTTAAATCAGGGATGCTGTGATCAGTATTTTTGCTGCTGATCCTGATACCGATCACCCTGAGGGCCGATCATAGCCGATACCGATTTAGGTATAAATCCCTTAATTGAGACAAGAACATACTACTAAAACTTGCAAACTGCAGCAAGTATTAAGTCAAAACAACAAATAATAAAAAAATGCTAACAGGTTTTATTTAGCAGATTGAAAACAGTTATACTTATATAATTGTATTATATAATGACAAAATTATATAATGACAAAACTTCGATATCAAATAATGTCAAATAAAAAGAAACATTCAAAGTAAAATGAAGGTGATGCAGGGGTTGATGCACGGCCGATGTTCAGAGGCTTTGCTCCTCAATGCGACCGTCACACGTTCAAATCGCGCCCTAGTGACCTTTGTCGCATGTTTCCCTCTTCTCTCTCATCCCATTTCCTGTCTGCCTACTTTTGAAAAAAACAACAAACAAAAATAAAGGCCACTAGAACCAAAAAAACAATCTAAAGATAAATAATTGTAAATTAAAAACCAAATCTGCCTGAGAGCATGGCTCTGATCTTTTTTTTTAAGATGAAGAAGCAGAGGAGCTTGATTCTTTTTTTCCAAATTTTATCTGCATAATTTTAGGACACAGAAAAAATGTTAATACATATATTAAAAGTTTTTTTTTGTAAGAATCCTCCTGCAGCTTTAAGGAGACATTGGCTTGAGCTCAAACAGTGCAATTTCTGATACAATGCTCAAAAAAATTAAAGGAATACTTTATAAACACATCAGATCTCAATAGGGAAACAAATCATGCTGTTTATCTATACTGATATGGACTGGGTGAAGTGTTAGGAACAAAAGGATACCATATCATTTGATGGAAATGAAAATTATCAACCTACAGAGAGCTGAATTCAAAGACGCCCCAAAAAACACAGACAAAAAATGATGCGGCAGGCTAGTCTATTTTGCTGAAATTTCCTTGCAACAACTCAAAGTGATATTCAGTAATTTGTATGGCGTATGCATGCCTGACAACGTCTGAGCATGTTCCTAATGAGACAACGGATGGTGTCCTGGGGTATCTCCTCCCAGATTTGGACCAGGGCATCACTGAGCTCCTGGACAGTCTGAGGTGCAACCTGGCGGATGGATTGAACCATAATGTCCCAGACGTTTTCTATTTGATATAGGTCAGGCGAGTATGGGGGCCAATCAATGGTATCAATTCCTTCATCCTCCAGGAACTGTCTGCATACTCTCGCCACATGAGGCCGGGCATTGTCGTTCACCAGGAGGACCCAAGGACCCCACTGCACCAGCATAGGGTCTGACAATGGGTGCAAGGATTTCATCCTGATACCTAATGGCAGTCAGGGTGCCGTTGTCTAGGCTGTATAGGTCTGTGCGTCCCTCCATGGATATGCCTCCCAAGACCATCACTGACCAACCAACAAACCAGTCATGCAGAACGACGTTACAGGCATCATATCGTTCTCCACGGCATCTCCAGACCCTTTCACATCTGTCACATGTGCTCAGGGTGAACCCGCTCTCATCTGTGAAAAGCACAGGGCGCCAGTGTCGGACTTGCCAATTCCAGTGTTCTGTGGCAATTGAGCTCCATGGTGCCGGGCAGTGAGCACAGGGCCCACTAGAGGACGTCGGACCCTCAGGCCACCTTTGTGAAGTCTGTTTCTGATTGTTTGGTCAGAGACATTCACACCAGTGGCCTGCTGGAGGTCATTTTGTAGGGCTCTGGCAGTGCTCCTCCTGCTCCTCCTTGCACAAAAGAGCAGATACCGGTCCTGCTGATGGGTTGTAGATCTTATACGGCCCTGTCCAGCTCTCCTGGAGTAACTGCCTGTCTCCTGGAATCTCCTCCATGCTCTTGAGATTGTGCTGGGAGACGCAGCAAACCTTCTGGCAATGGCACGTATTGATGTGCCATCCTGGAGGAGTTGGACTGCCTGTGCAACCTCTGTAGGGTCCAGGAAGTGCCTCATGCTATCAGTAGAGACAGTGACCCTAGCCAAATGCAAAACTGGTAAAAATAGTCAGAAAAGATGAGGAGGGGAAAAAATATCTGTGAACCTACCCCTGTAAAACCATTCCTGTTTTGATGGTTGTCTCGTTGTTGCCCCTCTAGTGCACCTGTTGTTAATTTCATCAACGCCAAAGCAGCTGAAGCTGATTAACAACCCCTCTGCTACTTACCTGACCAAATCATTATCCCTGAAGTTTAATTAACTTGATGCTATACTCTGATTACAAAGTGTTCCTTTAATTGTTTTGAGTAGTATATTTTCATGCTGATAGAAACACCCTGCTGCTATTAAAAGTTTCTTTACCTAATTGGTTAATTTTACATCGATCAGTTGTTTTCTTTTGTTGTTGAGTTTTGTCCCCTGTTTCAGTGATAATACTTGATCAAGCCTTTTCTATCNACAGAAAAAATGTTAATACATATATTAAAAGTTTTTTTTTGTAAGAATCCTCCTGCAGCTTTAAGGAGACATTGGCTTGAGCTCAAACAGTGCAATTTCTGATACAATGCTCAAAAAAATTAAAGGAATACTTTATAAACACATCAGATCTCAATAGGGAAACAAATCATGCTGTTTATCTATACTGATATGGACTGGGTGAAGTGTTAGGAACAAAAGGATACCATATCATTTGATGGAAATGAAAATTATCAACCTACAGAGAGCTGAATTCAAAGACGCCCCAAAAAACACAGACAAAAAATGATGCGGCAGGCTAGTCTATTTTGCTGAAATTTCCTTGCAACAACTCAAAGTGATATTCAGTAATTTGTATGGCGTATGCATGCCTGACAACGTCTGAGCATGTTCCTAATGAGACAACGGATGGTGTCCTGGGGTATCTCCTCCCAGATTTGGACCAGGGCATCACTGAGCTCCTGGACAGTCTGAGGTGCAACCTGGCGGATGGATTGAACCATAATGTCCCAGACGTTTTCTATTTGATATAGGTCAGGCGAGTATGGGGGCCAATCAATGGTATCAATTCCTTCATCCTCCAGGAACTGTCTGCATACTCTCGCCACATGAGGCCGGGCATTGTCGTTCACCAGGAGGACCCAAGGACCCCACTGCACCAGCATAGGGTCTGACAATGGGTGCAAGGATTTCATCCTGATACCTAATGGCAGTCAGGGTGCCGTTGTCTAGGCTGTATAGGTCTGTGCGTCCCTCTATGGATATGCCTCCCAAGACCATCACTGACCAACCAACAAACCAGTCATGCAGAACGACGTTACAGGCATCATATCGTTCTCCACGGCATCTCCAGACCCTTTCACATCTGTCACATGTGCTCAGGGTGAACCCGCTCTCATCTGTGAAAAGCACAGGGCGCCAGTGTCGGACTTGCCAATTCCAGTGTTCTGTGGCAATTGAGCTCCATGGTGCCGGGCAGTGAGCACAGGGCCCACTAGAGGACGTCGGACCCTCAGGCCACCTTTGTGAAGTCTGTTTCTGATTGTTTGGTCAGAGACATTCACACCAGTGGCCTGCTGGAGGTCATTTTGTAGGGCTCTGGCAGTGCTCCTCCTGCTCCTCCTTGCACAAAAGAGCAGATACCGGTCCTGCTGATGGGTTGTAGATCTTATACGGCCCTGTCCAGCTCTCCTGGAGTAACTGCCTGTCTCCTGGAATCTCCTCCATGCTCTTGAGATTGTGCTGGGAGACGCAGCAAACCTTCTGGCAATGGCACGTATTGATGTGCCATCCTGGAGGAGTTGGACTGCCTGTGCAACCTCTGTAGGGTCCAGGAAGTGCCTCATGCTATCAGTAGAGACAGTGACCCTAGCCAAATGCAAAACTGGTAAAAATAGTCAGAAAAGATGAGGAGGGGAAAAAATATCTGTGAACCTACCCCTGTAAAACCATTCCTGTTTTGATGGTTGTCTCGTTGTTGCCCCTCTAGTGCACCTGTTGTTAATTTCATCAACGCCAAAGCAGCTGAAGCTGATTAACAACCCCTCTGCTACTTACCTGACCAAATCATTATCCCTGAAGTTTAATTAACTTGATGCTATACTCTGATTACAAAGTGTTCCTTTAATTGTTTTGAGTAGTATATTTTCATGCTGATAGAAACACCCTGCTGCTATTAAAAGTTTCTTTACCTAATTGGTTAATTTTACATCGATCAGTTGTTTTCTTTTGTTGTTGAGTTTTGTCCCCTGTTTCAGTGATAATACTTGATCAAGCCTTTTCTATCATTCTACAGTATAAAATAAGTAATTAAAAAATGCTCTGATTTGTGCTATATCGTATCGGTTCAATACATCAGCCAATACTCAAAGCTGCTATATCCGTATCGTATTGGAAATGAAAAAGTTGTATGTAGACACACCTAATATAAATCACATTTCTTTATGTGACTGGTGTCCTTAAATAACATCTTTTAACTTTGCATATTTTTTCAAGAATGTTGTTTTTGATTGTGGGGCTATAATTGCTGTGGCCTGCTTTCACAGCTATACAGTTAAATAAGCAGTGTTTTAAATAATCCGTTTTATTATCACAATTACAGCATAACATATCGTAAGGTTATAAGGCCACATCACCCAGCTTTACTTCCTAAACTATATCACTCAGGCCAAGCTTTGGTTAATAGCTTTTTAAAATTTTGGCTGATTTCTGTCGTCAGAACTGGTGTAGCTGATGCATATAATGTATTTTTGTTGGGTGTTTTTGACAACATCGCTTGTTGCAAACCGCAAATAAAACTACTACAGATTTCTTTCAACAACACTTTTTATGACAGTTTTTTCAATGGCCAGATTTGTTTTTTAGTCGTGACTAGCTCTTTAAAGCTCCCCCAGTGTTACCACCAAGGAGCTGTAGAAACCATGTATTAAGCTGGGAGTTATTATTATTTTTATTAAGTCACACTCTCCCTACAGGTATGTGTCTCTGTCGGATAACGAGAAGACCGGTTTCAAAGCCCGGGAGCTGAAGTCGGTCCATGTTGATGCCGTTGGATTATATCTGAGAATTACCCTCCACAGGAACCATGCCAACCGTTACAATCACTACAGTCAGGTACTTTGTTAGAGCGTAGCTCCCAGATCAACAGCAGGAGCAACATAGAGTAGTTGCTGTTTGGTTTTCACTGTAGAATATCTAACTGATAGACATTTTAGTTCATTTTTAGTTTAAAATAAATATTGTTAATATCTTCTTNTTTTCCATCTTATAAAAAACACTAAAGCTATTGATACCGGTATATATTAAAGTAAATTATTTAGCTCTTTATATACATTTTAGCCACTATTAAGAGCCGCTGGAGAGGGTCCAAAGAGCCATATGTGGCTCTGGAGCCGCAGGTTGCAGACCCCTGATCTATACTGATATGGACTGGGTGAAGTGTTAGGAACAAAAGGATACCATATCATTTGATGGAAATGAAAATTATCAACCTACAGAGGGCTGAATTCAAAGACGCCCCAAAAAACACAGATAAAAAAATTATGCGGCAGGCTAGTCTAATTTGCTGAAATTTCATTGCAACAAGTGATATTCAGTAATTTGTATGGCCCCCACGTGCGTGTATGCATGCCTAACAACGTCGGAGCATGCTCCTAATGAGACGACGGATGGAGTCCTGGGGTATCTCCTCACAGATCTGAACCAGGGCATCACTGAGCTCCTGGACAGTCTGAGGTGCAACCTGGCGGATGGATTGAACCATAATGTCCCAGAGGTGTTCTTTTGGATTTAGGTCAGGCGAGCGTGGGGGCTAATCAGTGGTATCAATTCCTTCATCCTCCAGGAACTGCCTGCATACTCTCGCCGCATGAGGCCAGGCATTGTCGTTCACCAGGAGGAACCCAGGACTACTGCACCAGCATAGGGTCTGACAATGGGTGCAAGGATTTCATCCCGATACCTAATGGCAGTCAGGGTGCCGTTGTCTAGCCTGTATAGGTCTGTGCGTCCCTCCATGGATATGCCTCCCAAGACCATCACTGACCAACCAACAAACGGGTCATGCTGAACGATGTTACAGGCAGCATAACGTTCTCCACGGCTTCTGCAGACCCTTTCACATCTGTCACATGTGCTCAGGGTGAACCCGCTCTCATCTGTAGAAAGCACAGGGCGCCAGTGTCGGACTTGCCAATTCCGGTGTTCTGTGGCAATCGAGCTCCATGGTGCCGGGCAGTGAGCACAGGGCCAACTAGAGGACGTCGGCCCTCAGGCCACCCTCGTGAAGTCTGTTTCTTATTGTTTGGTCAGAGACATTCACACCAGTGGCCTACTGGAGGTCATTATGTAGGGCTCTGGCAGTGCTCTGGCAGTACTCCTCCTGCTCCTCCTTGCACAAAAGAGCAGATATCGGTCCTGCTGATGGGTTGTAGATCTTCTACGGCCCTGTCCAGCTCTCCTGGAGTAACTGCCT